GGCAGGCCTTGTCATTTCATACTCTTTGTGGTCTCTTGTCTTGTCATTTCTACTGTGTATGACGGGCAAATTCTCCCTCTGTCCAAATAATCATTCCTGCCCTCTTTCATTTTAGATGTTCACTTTAATTGTTAATACGGTTTAGATTCAATAAATCATATGAAAGAACACAAACGCTATGCTATGTAGAGCTTGACATGAGGAAAAATGCGGTCTATTGATGTAATATAATTCTGTGTGAAATTGTAATGACTTGACGTTATTGCATGTGACGCGGGAATAAATCAAACGGTCGATAGATGGATGTAGCAGCTTGGAAAGATTTATGTTTTGGAGTCGGTAGCCAGAACTAAGGCAACTGTAATTTTTGGATGGCCTCACCACACAAGCTCAGGGATTTCTGATGAAATAAGACGGGCTGATCGCTGATGTGGTGCAAGCACCGACTGAGCCTTGCTAAATTCGACCCCCTCACCACCACACACTCGTAAGGATTAATTCCCCTTTGAGAGACCTTCGGTTCCCTCTCTCTGGCCCCCGCGTATTGTTCTAGCTAGAGTTATGATGATGATTTATGTGCTGCAAGTGACTGCTGAAAAGTGGACTGACTCACACTTTCCATTATAATTTACTTTTCAATGATTGTTCTGTTTTTTTTTTTTTTTTGGCTTGGGTTCAGGCTTGGATGTGCATGTAAGAAAGTGAAAAAAGTTGATAAACTGTGAGAGAGGTGTTTTTCACACACACTACATACATCCATGACCAGTTACTATACACACTCACATACACACTGATCCCTCTTCATATGTTCATGTCTTCTGTGTACTTCATAACAAGCTTGCGTCAAAATGATAGATCTAAAAACCAATAATTAGGAAAATAATTGTCGCAGCCCTAATCGAACTTTGAAAGGTTAAGCTGTAAGTCACGGAAGAAGGTTAGAATCATTTTAAATTGTCTAAACCTTGTGGCTTTTATTGACACAATTTCCCAGGCTAATCAACACCCATTTCTCAGTGTACACGTCCTCTGTTTTCCTCAGGGGAAACCAGCCCTGCTGATTGGATGTCACCTTTCTGTCTGAGCGTGTGTGATGATAGGTGGCAGGGTCAAGGCTGTGCTTGTCAACAAACCTCAGCAATTAGCTTCGACTTGGGGCAGTTTCTCAGCGCACAGACAACAGTTCACTCAGCAGAAATATCCAACAGGAGCAGCATGAAGTCCTGAGGGAGCAGCTGTCAGTCATAGCTGTGCCCTCTGATGCCCCCCCCCCCCAGCATCATTCCTTTACGACGAATA